TGTCAAAACTAGGGGTGGGAATTTTTTTTCGAATCCCGACTCCCGATCCTGACAATCCCGATCCCGACAATCCTGATCCCGACAATCCCGATCCTGATATTCCCGATCCTGACAATCCCGATCCCGACTAGTCAGGAATTTTTCCCGATCCCAACTAAGTCGGGACGGGATCGGGAAAATCTCGACATCCCGACACTATATATACACATATATATAATTATATATGAATATATATAAAAATGAATATACATTTACAAAAAATGAAGATGTATCTAAATATTAGCATATCTTTTTTACTTACTTATTCCTTACATAGATTAATCTTTTATATTACAATATTAAACTTCTAAAACTATTCGGCATTTGTCTCAAACTGAATATTATGGATCCTAACTAAATAGAGATTATTCTTCATCCCGACAATCTAAATCACAACAATAGTACAATTTTTGCGGTTTTGATGAACTCTTTAAAAAATCATGATTGAGACTAAAATTTATTTCTTTAGTAAATAATCATAATATGTATTATACACTATATTCATGGGTCACAAAGTTTCTCAATGAGTCTACTTAGTTTTAAATTTTAAAATAATATACGTTACACATCCTTCTTTTAGTGATTTTTTATATAATTTTTGAAGTAAGTTTGACTAAGCCTTGATAGCTTATTCAAAAATTATACTATTAATTAATTGAAGTTATAAATAAAAATTATTCTAAAAGTACGTACTACTGTGAATTTGAGATGATAATTATAACTATAAGTTTTATAAGTGGATGATGATAATATAGTATACTAATGACCAAAGAATAATATTGAAACCACTAAATATCAAAGTTAGTGCTTAACTAAAGAAATTACTCCGTACATAATTTCATGTTTGATACATCATTGTCAGGATTAAGCGGGATTCCCGATCGGGAACCCGACTTAATCAGGATTTTAATGTCAAATCCCGACTTAATCGGGACGGGATACGGGAACCTCTTGTATTTTGAATCAGGATCGGGACGGGATCGGGATTTTGGCATTCGGGATCGGGATCATCCGGATCCCACCCCTAGTCAAAACATGGTAGTAAACTTTCAAGATGACTCTAATGTAGTGCTATTTTTTTTTTTGACTGAAAACTTTCATACTTTATTAATCTAAACAATCGTTAGCCAACTGGTTTACAATGTAATCAGGTGGAAACATATAGCTATTCATACAACCTGGTCTAGAAACAGCTGCCCTAGCTAACATATGAGCAACACGATTCGCAGGTCTTCTACACCATTTGATTATAAAATTATCAGACTCACATAACATCTGTTTAATATCATTAATAATGATATCAACGTAAGTGAACCAAGATTTATCTAGTATACCTTACACCACCAAGGCTGCGTCAGTCTCAATTTCAATTTTTGCCCACCCTGTCTCCTTAGCCCAACTAATCGCTTCTCTAACTCCCAATGCTTCTGTCTCTACTGGTGACCAATCAGCTTTAATCGCTTTCGTTTGAGCTTGGATGAAAAGTTAATTCTCACCCCTAGCCACCCAACCTCATGCCTTCACTCCGCTATTTTGATCCAGTGTTACGTCTACATTGATTTTAACATAGTCCAATCCCGGTTTTTGCCAACTGGGCATGTCTTTGAAAACTCCGGCCTTCTGGTGGTTGTTTGTTTGCACTTGTGCAGACTGCCATTCATTAATGTAGTGCTATTTAGGAAAATAACATAACCATTCAATTTTGGAGTTCTCAATATTCTGACTCTTAGTTATTAAAAAAATCCCTTAAACTTCGAGCTTTGTGTAGAAGTGCAAAAGTGACACTTAACTTTTTCATTTCTATTTTTTTTTCAGGCCGAAGAGGAAGACAATGACGTATTGAAAATAAAGATTGAAAGCGCCATTGCAACATTGAACGATCCAGAGAGTCCAACAGGGATCTAAAATAATTTATGAATTTTTTACGGGAACAATAAGAGATTATGACAAGAATATTATACTCAAAAAATTCCACTTTTGATCCCATGACTATTATAGAACTTTCACATTTAATCTCTTACTTTCAGATTGTACACATTTAGTCCGTGACAATTATCTCCTCACCACCCTTCATCCTTCCGACCAAAATTCTGGCAAATTTAGTACACTTATCAGCCTCAAAATCAGTCTTTGCATTAAATTTTATATAAGGTTAGGTTTTTCATATAAGTCTTTGTATTAAATTTGTTTTTTCATACCTCTAATTTGCATTAAATTTGCCGGAATTTTGGCCGGAAGGGTGAGGGGTGGTGAGGGGATAATGGTCACGGACTAAATGTGAACAATCTGAAAGTAAGAGACTAAATGTGGAAGTGGTATAATAATCATGGGACCAAAAATGGAATTTTTTCATATTATACTAAACATAGATTATTGACAAAAAAGAGTCATTTTTACAAGTTTCCAAAAATGAAACTAACTTGGCACTAAGTTTGGAAACTTCGAAATGAGTTTTTTTACTTAATTACCCCTTCTAATACCCATTGACCATCGGTAGCCACCGTGACCATGGGTCCATGGCCGGCCATAATTACCATTTACCATTTATAAGGAATATTTTGTATTTAGCTTTTAATGATGTTGTAACATCATTAAAATCTAAATACAAAATATTCCATACAAAACTACAACACCACCTACAGACAATGACGGTTTTAAAAAATTCAAAAGACGGACTGACTCGAGAATGAGCAGTATTCAAACATGTCTTCAAATCAAGCTTTCCGGACAGAATGATACTTTCTCTAAATTGTTGAGCTCTTTAATTCTTGTACTTTCATTCTTGTACTCTCCTTTCGGTTTAATAAATTAGGTAAATGACTCACAACATTCACCCCACAATTTTACGGTTTGCCTTTGCAAAAAAAATTAATGATGTTGTATTCTTAGGAATTTAGATTACCCCCAAATAGATAAAACCTACTATTATTTTTCGTTTTATTGATATTAGCTTAGTCTGACTGCTTGAATAGAGACGACAGAGCAAATATGTAGGGAACATATTTGACTTTAGAAGAGTCGACAATACTAGGAATGCCACCAGACATATAGAAGGCCTTACTTAAGTAGCGAAGTATGACTAGATAAAATGTTAAATTAAATGAACGCACGAAGCTAAGAGCATCTTCAATGTTACAATGTGCACGGTGCACATGTGGCACGAGAAATAACCACGTAAATATTAGTCAATAATTTATCTCTCTCCTTATTTGAAAAATTTTATACAATTTTAGTAAGTTTTTCTGCACAATGTCAAGAAGACCATCTAGATATTGACATTGTGGTGGACATTGCAGAGAAAAATTTACCAAAATTGTATAAAATCATTCAAATAAGGAGAGAGATAATTTATTTGCTAATATTTATGTGGCTATCTCTCGTGCCACATGTGCACCGTGCACATTGTAGCATTGGAGATGCTCTAACATGAAGGAGCCTTTTAACGGGAGAACTAAAGTCAAACGCATTACATGAATATTTAATGCTATCTAGTCATTACCTTATTGAAAGCGTATGACTCCACCGGATTGCAAGAATCTTAGATCTCACATGGTCAAGTCAGCAGGACATGCATTAAATGAAGTTGTCTTCTTCACTCAAACGGGGCAGATTATTACCAGAATAAAAGATACACTTAGAAGAACGGATGAATTGTGAACTTTGAAACACACCTTACGAGAATTCAAACTAGTAATGGGAGAATATTATTTCTACCTTCAAACCCATCCTCAACTAAGTTTATCGAAGTTCTTCAACACTACAAAATATTCATTTACAAATACCTTCTGCGGAGAAGTTGGAAAAAATTCTATTTATGTACAAAGGATTATATCTTGAAAAATAAGGGGCACCAATGTAATCTGAGTAAAGTGGTGATACTTCCATAAGTTCGGTAAAACGGTTAGTCATCAGAAAGTGGATTGCATCCCGGCTGAAAAGGCGACTACTCTTGAAGAAGACATGGAGAGCTACTTAGGAGATGAGGATAAGCGTTGTAATTCAAGGTTACAAGTTCTCAGTGGAACAATGGACTAGAGGAACGCGTTGTTCTTTGAAGCATTACAAAATCACTCGTGTCGTTTACTTGACTACATTTACTTTTCTATACTTTTGTAAATCCGATTTATCAATAGCGTGAACTTTGTGCTTAAAAGATTTCACTCTAGATATTAAAAAAATCTGCCTTAGTGTTTCCATGCAACCTGACTAGACTTACTATTTCCGCTGCTGGGCCAAATATGTCCTAATTTGTGCCCACTCTGTTAACAGACAGATTCCGTTGAGACAGAAAATGATATTCCAAGAACAGTCTATTCATGAAGAAGCCAAGGGAATCTAGAAGTCCCTCCTCAAGCAGAAAACTCTTCCAGTGTTAGAAGCTTTCTGATAACAATGATGAAATTCTTTGTTACAATTACCGTCAACTTTGGACACTTCAAATCTAGTTGCCCTTACCCCATTGTGACCTAAAGAAAAGGATAAGAAGGAGAGAAAAAGTATGACTCAAATGACAGAAGAAGGAAAATAGTGGTTTATGAGCAATCAGAGAAGGATCTCCTTTGAGAGACAGAATCAAGATTCAGAATAGATGAAACATTTTGTTGCCTTGTAGCACATTCAGATGATATATGTCTGATGGTACACTTTAATGATGACATATTATCTTCTCCCCGGGCTAGTTTTTGTTAGATAAGCACATTCTTCATCAGAATCAATTTATAAAGTGTTGGAAAAGTTTCGAATCATCCAAGGCTCTAAGCCATTTATTCTGTGCTCAAAGTGATATAGTGACATGCTCAACGGCATAATGACACATTTGACGACGATAGTTACACATGGAAGTGACATGAAAATCGATAGTATGTCGCAGTGAGATAAAATCGACAATGATATAAGAATTTGGTAAATTGGTCACATTTTTTTAAATTGACTTAAAAAAAATTATTTTAGCACACCTGCAAGGTGTTCATCCGTAACCCGTGGCTGAAGCCCTCAATCCCTTGCGGACGGCGCTGGATGCATAGCCATGACCGAACGTGAGAGAGACAGAGGGCGAGAGCGAGAGCGAGAGCGAGATAGGAAAAGAGTCCGCGAGGAGCGCTACCGTGACCGGAAAGAGCGTTCTCCGTCCCCTTCGCGTTCCTATACACCTGAACGTGTCCGGTCCACTAGAGCCCCTTCCCGAACCCGCTCCCCGTCCACCGACCGCCATCGTTTCCGCCGTCGTTCTACTTCTCACTCGCGCTCTCCCGAACGTCACCATTGCAGCAGCAGGAATCACCACCACCACCACGGACACCGCACTCTTAATCCCGAAAGTCCTCCCAGAAAACGCCACAAGGATGACGGTGAAAGGGATAGAGATGGGAATCGGATCAGGCAAATGGATGTTTCAGATTTCGTTGATGGAATAGCCAAGGAGCATAAGCAGAAGCAGGAGGGTGATGCAGAGATGATTGATGAAGATGAAATTGAGATGATGAAGAAATTAGGGATTCCTGTAGGGTTCGATTCCACTAAGGGAAAATCTGTTGCTGGGAACGATGTGGGCGCTGTGAGGAAAGTGACCAAAAGGCAGCCTAGGCAGTACATGAATCGGCGTGGTGGATTCAATCGACCCTTGCCTGCTGAACTCAATCGCTGATCCCAGGTTAGATGATCGTTCTGTTCAATGCTATTACTTGCTTTCTTTTTTATTCCAAAACTAAATGTTGGTTTTGAACGAGAATTGTTGCTATGGTGGAGTGGAATTATAAATGTTTACATTTTCTTTCATTAAGTATTGCATGAAGTGGAAGCCTTGTCTATCTCTCTGCACGAATGTTATCCAATAGAAGACATCGAATTTGAAGGTCAAATCCTACATAAGAACTTCAATTTTTGAAATTTTAGTTCAATATCTCTTATACTAGCGGGGCTGATTTGATCAGAGTAGAATACTAATATCAGTACCGATGCCAATGCCAATACGAATGTTTGGAAAGGAAGATGGCATTGTGTGCCATATATTGCTGTCATTCAAAGGGTTTGAGATAGTAGAGGCTGTAACTTGGGTATTTACATTGTGTTACAGCCCCTTTTCATAGCGCAGAGGGTTTTTCGCGCCACATGGCGCATGGCGCGCGCGCCATATTGCGCCATCGACTACTATGCTGTATAGTAATGTGACTGATGCAGGTGTAACTGTTCTACTTGTTCTTATTGTCTATTAAAACATTGGGGCACTATACTACTTCATAACATCAAACCATTCTCTAATTGATCTGAAAAGGTTGGATCTTATCTCTTTTACTTACTCCATTTTATCTTTTCGTACTTTAACTGATCTCATTTTTTGTTGGTCATTTTTGCTTTTCTTTTCTTTTCTATTCTTTTTCTGATGTTTTCAACTCTTCCTCATTTTTTTACTCTGGGGAGGATCATTAATTGCTTAACTTATGTAGAGTACGAATTCTTAAGGTTTGCTAAATATGGTTGGTGTTGTTTTATCTGATCTTTGGAGATTTTAATCACAAACCAACTTACGAAGTGGATTTGGTTCCTCCCATCAATTAGACATCTAAATTCTAATAGATCTCCTATTGACGGGAAAATTGAAACGTTTGGCTGGCTTTAAAAAGATATTAGAGGTTTAGGCTTCATGAGCATGTAGTGCATGACAGCTGAAAATGAAGATAAAGGGAATTTTCAATTGTCTCTTGTAGCCATCCAGGTGTTTTGAGATTATGAATTTGACAGTTTTTTATTGTAAAAAAACTGTCAAATTCGTAATCTCAATTATGGATTTGACAGTTGTCTTAGAACTTTAGAAGTCACATTGGCTAAGATGATTTTAATTAAATGAAGGTTATTGTTGTAGGGTATGTTTACTACATTAAATATCTTATAGTTTATCTATTATGGGAAACTGGAATCACAATTTTCTCCTATCTTGTACTAAGCTAGTGTTTGCCTTTCATTCTTTGCGGAAAAAAGAATCACGTGCTTGCTATTTTTAAGAAAAAATAAGGTAACAGTATGTTATGAGCGTTGCTGGGAGATGACATACTCATCCTTTCCATAACTTCCAGGGAAGAGTTATGTCATTGACAAAAACCCTTAGACCCAACCTTTTCAAAGGCCTGCACTATTTAGTTTGATATGATTAATGAAGTTAAAGCCCTATTTGTACTACTCAATGGAGTCTAAAATTAAATACCAATTTTAATTGAAAAGTATTACTAAATATAAAATTAGTATTTTACAAGGGCATTTCCGTGGGCGCATGTTGTGAATGTTTGAATACTTTGTAAGATATGTGTGTCTGTTTGCGTGTGTATACTATATATATTTATATTTATATTTATATTTATATTTATATTTATATTTATATTTATGTTTATGTTTATCTTTATCTTTATCTTTATCTTTATCTTTATGTTTATGTTTACGTTTACGTTTACGTTTACGTTTACGTTTACGTTTACGCTTACGCTTACGCTTACGCTTACATTTATATAGAGAATTATTGCTGTCCAGCCCGGCCGGACAGGAATAACACTCTAACATTTCATTTACACGGAAATCTAACAATCTAACATCTCATTTAGATTGGAAGTCTAACAATTCATTTTGACGGAAAGATTCGAACTAAACATTCCTGTTAGCCAGCCATTTGCCCCCACAGTGCAAAATTGTTTTACGGTTAAACCGCCACCAACCAGCGCCAACAGTACACGAAGGTTATTTGATTCACTTCCAAATGGAGAGGACCAGTACGTTTCTTCTCCTTCTCATCTTATTCTGCGATAACGAAGAGGTATTCCTACTTCTTACACCTCCATTTCTAAATCCATCTATTTCTTGTTTTCTGAAATTGTTAATTCGTTTGTTCGTATTTCTAGCTCTATCTGTACAGTCTTACTAAACATTTGGACTTCTTTCCCAGTCCCACTTGATAGCAACTTCCGTAAACAAGTAATTTTTACAGTCAACGATTTCATGAATGTCCACTACATGTTCGCCAAATGGCTTAACCACTTTCTAATGTTTAACAGGAACATACACATATTGTTTCATATATGTTAAAGCAGAGAATTGCAGTTCTGGTTTAGCAACACGAAACAAAAGTAAAAAAAAAACTAAATAAACAGTAACGAACCAACTCATCCTACAGACCACATTTACTAGGATTGCAATTAGAATACTTTATTGCATTCAAATGACATACAATGGATGATCTGTTTCAAGTGATAAAACTGTATGAATGTAGGATCACATAGTCTAAATCATTGTTTCTTTGCCTGAACAGGATTACAAGTTTTATAATATAACAAGTTCTGGTGGGAAATAAGTTTCTTTAGGAAGTAAACTTAAAATTGTTCCTTTATTTATTCAAACGATCTCAAATATTTATCCACAGAAATGCCCAAATGTTTTGAAAAGTCTTCTGTGAATTTTCTATAACAAAACATGTCTAAGGAACGAAAATGGTTCCTCTTGATATTTTTGTGAAATATAGGTAACAACTAAACATATCCATAGTTTTTACTCAAAAAGGGGTGTTGCATGCCTTAGTTGTATACTCTCAAGGGCTTAGTTCTTGATATGTACCCAATCGTTAGTTGGACTTCTCTTCAGTTGAAGTTAGACAAATTCTACTTTGTTATGAGATCTACTGTTTTTGTAATAATGTTTAAGGCAATCTCATTAAGTCACAACTATTGCATGGTTTTTTTTGTGCACAATATTGTGTAATGACACTAGCTGAAGCGTATGTACAGGACTAATGATGGATTTTGAAATGTCATCGGTTGATGAATCAGTAGGGTCCTTAGCAGCTGCTGAGAGTTGGAGCTTAAGAGACTCAGAAAATTTCCACCTGCATTTTCAAACCATTCAAAACTAGAATGACTTTTATTTCAGAAGCTTGATTATTGTATTTTCCACCAATATCTCCCCATGTAAGCGACTGCTATATGCTTAAGGTTTCTCTTTATGTAAGCGACTGCTATATGCTAAAGGAATTTTATGGGAAAAATACTGAGAACTAGTTTCTTCTTTCTCTTCTTTTCTCTTCTGCCTTTTATCTATCTTCCCCCCTCCCCACAATTGCTTCTATATTTTAGGGTTTGTTTGGTCGGGGGGATATTTGAGGGGTGACAGAGTTTGGATTCATTTTTGTTTTGCTATTTTATCTTTTTCTGTTAGTCTTAACTACAAAATAACGAGTTTTTGCCATTTCCGGTCCCCCGACTATTGCATCATTGACACTTTTGGTACTCGATTTATAATTTTTCCAATTTCAGTCCTCGATTGTTGTGCTAGGGGCATTTTTAGTCATCGACTTCAAAGTTTCCCACATTTATTCCCCTTGGTATTATCAAATTTACATTTTTAGTCATTCCACTATGATTTCGACACAATAAGTGGAGGACTAAAAATTTCATTATTATAAAGTTGAAGGACCACAAGTGCCACTTTTATGAAAGTCGGAGGACTAAATATGGAAATTTCAAAGATAGGTACCAAAAGTCTCTAGCGCAATAGTCGAGCACTAAAAATGAAAAAAATCAAAATTGAGTACCAAAAGTGTCAATGACATAATAGTCGGGGGACTAAATGTGGCAAAAGCTCATAGAATAACTATATGCATAGTTAAATCATGTATTTTTAATTTTTTTTGCCTTCACTTTCTTTCATATCATCTAAACATAAGAAAAATTAATAAAATTAATATCACCCCTCCCCTTCCATCACTTCTTTAGTACCCCAACCAATCAAAGGCTCAGTTCTTGGTATGTGCTCAATAGTTGGTTGGACTTCTCTTGAGTTGAATTTAGACAAATTCTACTTTGTTATGAGATCTACTGTTTTTGTAATAATGCTTCAGGCTATCTCATTAAGTCATATATACACTGTTTATCACATGACAGTATGAAAGTAGCATCACATGCTTTACCTGCATTACATTCCTTAGGATACACCATATGGTTAGAAAACACATCTAGTAATTGTAATAGACAAACATCACCAATGAACAGCTATAGGCACTCGGGAAAAAATAAAAAACAGTTGTGCAAAAAAGATAGGGTTAATTAATAATGTGATACTAATAATGTAATTTCTTATTTAGGTTAACTAATAATTAATAATTAACAACCAGAGGTTTCTCGTGCACACCTGAAACAATTACAAATGCACATAAAATAAAAATAAAAATAAAAAATGGAAAAATTCCGTGACCATTATCCCCTCACCACTCCTCGTCCTTCCGGCCAAAATTCCGGCAAATTTAGTCCACTTATCAACCTCAGAATCAGTCTTTGCATTAAATTTTATATAAGGTTGGGTTTTTCATATCAGTCTTTGCATTAAATTTGGTTTTTCATACCTAAAATCTGCATTAAATTTGCCGGAATTTTGGCCGGAAGGATGAGGGGTGGTGAAGGGATAATGGTCACGGACTAAATGTGGACAATCTGAAAGTAAGGGACTAAATGTGGACAATCTGAAAGTAAGGGACTGAATGTGGAAGTGGTATAATAGTCATGAGCCTAAAAGTGGAATTTTTTCATGAAAAATGCTAGGCTTAACTTTTGACTCACAATCCCCTTCATCTACTAAAAAACTTCTCCCTTCACACTCACTTGGAATGCATCCTCAAAAACATTTAGGGGTGTTTGGATTTGATTCTTAAAACTGCTTCTGCTCCTTCAGGGAGCAGAAGCAGAAGTTGGAGTGTTTGGGTAAAAGTGCAGAAGTGATTTTGGTGCTCTAATTTACTCCTAGAATCAGTTTTTTTAGAAGCTGGGGGTGACCAGCTTCTGAAAACTGATTCTGATTCTGATTCTGCTTTAAAAAAGAAGCAGAAGCAGAATCAGTTCCAAACACTCCCTTAGACTTTTTCCGGTCTCAACTGTTGTGTGACAAGGTTAACAATATTTATAGAACGATCACAAAAAATGCCATGAGTGATCACAAAAAGTACCATAACCCTTTATAACCAAAAAAGTCAATAACTTTTACTTTCATCTCACATCTTTGTAAACATCTTGCTACTTTTAGGGAGATTTCCCAAAATAGGGCAAATGGAGTTTGGAATTCCAAAATATGACTACTATGTTTTTATTCCCGAAATAGGACTAACATGGCAGTATTTTTCAAATAGTTGCAGTACAGTGCATTTAACATGACAGTATTAATTATAATTAATGAAAGATTTTTTCAATTATGGCAGTATTTTTCATGCATGGCAGTAACAACTCCTATTTCGGGAAGAAACACATAGTAGTCCTATTTTAGAATTTCAAATCTCATTTACTCCTATTTTGGGTATTCCAAACACAATAGTCCTTTTTAATGGTCCATCAAGTGTATTCCATTTTGTCTTGCATTCGAATCATATGTAACCTTAATCACAATGATCAAGTCCACAACTCAATGATGTTTCCTTGACAATTTTAGTCTGTGTAAAAACATGTATCCCTGAACACCCTCAGTTTATGTACTTTAAAAATATCTATTAAACTATACTCAAACTATATTACAATGTCAATATTATACTCTTCACTATTGCATTTCACTTTTAAAAAATGAAATTATCAGTTAGTAGCACATAAAAACACTGAAAATATACATAGTATAGGAGAGTTGCTTACCTGAAAAGTCATAAAATTAATGCCAATGATTCATTTTTACTACTTGGATATCTGTTAATCAGATTAAATATATGTAACGAAATGTAGCCAATAACATACGCATTAGAAGTTGTACGATCTACCTTTTCAACAAACCCTAGCAGCGAGAAGTAGAAAGCGTTGTCTTCCAATTCGTTCCGATCGTTCATGGCAAAGGAGGGAGGATTCGTCGTTTATGGCCTTACTCTTCTCTGACAACAGTGATGCAGTGATCCAAACTATCTGATGGTGATATCAACATTAGTGATTCTTGGTAGAGGTATGATCGAATAGGATTGTTCTTAATTTCTAGTTGTATTGATTTTGTTCAATGACGGTTCTTCCCCAAGCACTAGTGCTCTAGGGTGTTTTGTCTCTGTCGATGTGGAGAGTTCTGTTGGTGTCCTAGCTAGCTTTGTCTGGTCAGGGATTTCTGTCCGCCTTCTTTTGGAGTGCATATACATTGGTAGAGCTCGTCCTCCTCCACAACAACCTACGTGCCATGAAGAGTTTTTTTGGAAAGGTTTTTTTCAATTTTATGTTTCCATTAGTAGTACTTGTATTTATTTTAGTTTGAGTAGATTTGCTTTGGAAATTTGGATGTCTGGTGTTCGTTTGATAGGCAATATTTCAGACGTGATTGTTTTAGGCTTTAAATTTTTCGTTTGGTGTCTAGCGAATCAGGTTGTTTTGCATGAGGTGATTGATTCTCTGTCTATTCCCAGGGCTCACAATCAAATTAGTCATAACATCCGGATGTTATCTTGTATCTTTTCTCGGTTCTAACTTAAAAATCATATGCATTAGAAAAAACATTAATACCTTTTACGGAAAAGTATGTTATGGTTACATTTATTTAATATTAAAAGCTCCATTTATTTTCAAATTAAAAACCCTAACATTCAAACTAAATAATCCATTATTTAAGATGCAATTAATCAAAAAATAACCCTAGTGTTGTAGTAAACTAGTAGTTTTGCATTAATTAAAAAACAACCCTAGCGTTGTAGTAAACGAGTAGTGTTACATTGATTTCTATTCTTAGTGTAGGTCCAAAATAGGACGGTCGTAGGATTTTACGAAAGCTACGAAAGAACACTCAAGCAAGAATCAAGAAAATAATACCAATAAGGAAAGTTGCTAAGGAGTTTGATGGTGAGAAAATAGCATGCCTTGACATTTGAATTACCCTTGCCTTTTATAGGTGTATTGCCGCGTATACAAATGGTAACTGCCAACTACAATAATGATTAATTAATTACAACATTAGTACGGAATTAAATACATATGATGGAGTATATGGGTCTAGGCCCCAGGACCCACATACTCAGAAGAACAGAAAGCACAGCCACTACGCGGTGCCCTCGTCGGCCAAAGGACCCTCGTCGGCCGAAGAGGGGCCGACTCAGAATATGACCCTGAAGCCAGGCAACCAGGGTGTCCTCATCGGCCGTGCCCTCATCGGCCGTGCCCTCATCGGCCGTGCCCTCGTCGGCCAGACCCTCGTCGGCCACGGAAGTCTCACAGAACTAGATTTTACACTTATTCATTTATACAGCCCATCAGTTGCTTTGTATTCGACCCAATAGCGGTCCAGTTGTAAATGGGCCTCCCAAGCCCAAGGCTTGGGAGCCCAGCCCGTATTTTTCCTATAAATACTTCCTCTGGAGGTAGTTATAGAGGTTACAAAAATCATTCTATTGAAGCATTACTTGCACTTCTCTCTCTAGCTCTCACTTCTCTCTAGATATATACTCTATCATTTGGTGCTCTCGTTGAGAGCTAGAACAATCAAGTTAGCACCCTTCGTCGCTACCAAGCACATCTAACCACTGATCATGGGAAGAACCAAGTCAAACCGCAACCTCATCAGCAAGGCCATCCCTGAGGATCAGGAGACCAGGGAGCACGAGGAGGACGCCACGGCCGACCAGGTCGGCGGAGGGGACGTCTTCCAAGAGGCCATCAACCTCACCACGGACCTCAGCAACCAGCTCAACGGCGGCGCCCCTGACGCCCGCATCGGCCTGGACAAGAAGCTCGCAGAGAAGACAGACCACGCCCCAGCCCAGCCTATGGCCGCGGCTTCCCCGTATGTGGATCCACAGGTCCAGGCCGCGTTGTCGGTCATCATCGCCAGCTTGGCCCAGAACCCCACCGCCCTCAGCGCACTCTTGCCAAGGACTGGGGGAACGCCACTCCACCTCCTCAGCCCCAACCGTTGGCCGTCAGATTAGGCAACGATGAGGGGGTGATGGCCCAGGACACGGCGTCGTCCCACTCCCACCCCGCTTCCCCTCTTCGGCCCGGGCAGACCCCGGCGCGTGGAAAAGCCTCTGCCTTCAATAGGCTGGGTGACACGCGCCGTCATCCGGTTTCGGAGAGGATGGCAGGGCGGATTGGTGAGCGTCGGCCT